ATATAATAGAGTTATCATTTGCCACTTGGTGGAGGCAAATTTTATGGTGTGGAAATCATGATAGGTGGTTGTTTAGTCATCTTGATAGATTTTTATTGGAGGTGGACTAGATGGATTACTTTTCAGATATTATCCAAGAATGTTTTTCGAGTCCTCTTTCAAATCATAACCCAACTATTTTAAGGTTTAAAAAAGTTGATTAGGGTCCAAAGCCTTTAATGATCTTTAATTATTAGATGGATGAGAAGAGCTTCCAAGAGGTGGTCAACAAGCATGAAGAATGTAGTGGTTAGGAAGAAAGAGCAAATGGAGGGATTTGAGACAAACTTAAAGGTTTGAAAAAAAAAATTAAGAAGTGGAAACTCAGGTTCTTGGAAACACATAGTGGCAAATTTAGTGCCTTGAGGAAGAGATTCAAGCTTTGCAAACTCAATGTCAAGAAGAGGGACTAAATCAAAGCTGTTAGGAACAATTAGTGAAAAAGAGGTTGAAGTTATGGGTTTTTTATCAAAAAGAAGAAGGAGAATGGTTACAAAAAGTCGAGAGTTGGATGGGTTAATGAAGGAGATAAAAATATGAAGTACTTCCACATAATGGCCTTTGCGAGAAAAAGCATCAATCACATTGAGAAAATTACAAGTGAGGGAAAAAGTCTTATTGACCCTATAAGCGTGAAGAAGGAAGTGGTTAAACACTTTAAAAATCTGTACAAGGAAAAAGTGGTTGTTGAGTTGGTGGACATGGAATGGCAGTTCAGCAAACTAAGGAATCCAAATGTATGTTGGAAAGACTTTCAAAGAAGGAGGAAATCTGGGAAACAATTCAAGGCTACGATAGACATAAAGCACCAAGGCTAGATAATTATAATTTGAATTTTTTAAAAACACAATGGAAAAGTGGTGAAAAAAACGTGATAAAGTTTATTGTAGAGTTCTTTAGAAAAGGTCGATTAAGCAGGTGGGGCCAACGCATCCTTCATTGCTCTAATTCCAAAGGTTCCAAACCTTTCAACATTAAGAGAATACAAACCAATTAGTTTTGTTGGTAGCTTGCATAAAATTGTTGCAAAAATGTTAGCCAATAGATTGAAAAATGTTATTGGTGAGATTTTCGAGAAAAATCAGTTTACCTTTATTCAAGGTAAGCAACTTATGGATTGCTCGCTCATCGTAAATGAGGTCATTGACTGGTTAAGGAAAACAAAGTTAGGGGGTTTATTCTCATAGTGGATTTTGAAACGGCTTTCAACAACGTCAATTGGAAGTTCCTTGATCTTGTCATGACTAAAATGGGATTTGGTGAGAGACGGAAAAGGTGGATTAAAGAATGCATTTCCATGGCTTCAATTTTGGTCTTAGTTAATGGTTTGCCTATAAGGCAATTTAAATTGGCGAGAGGCTTGGGACAAGGTTGCCCATTATCTCTTTTTCTCTTCAACATGGTGGCCGAGGCTTTAAGTTGCATGCTAAAGAAAGCTAAGGAAAAAGATATGTTTAAAGGTGTGACTGTCAGTAAAAATTGGCTATCAATTTTACATCTTCAATACGCGGATGACACCATATTATTTTGTGAGCTAAAGTTGGACTATTTATTGGTGCTGAAAAGAATACTTCGATGCTTCCAAGGTGTGTCAATCCTTAAAACCAACTTCTCAAAGAGCCGTTTGATTGCAATTGAAGTTGAGCAGAATGTTATGGGTAGTTGGGCTAGGAAAATTGCATGCTAGATTTGGAAAATTTCCACTACATACTTGGACTCCTTTTGGGTGTTAATCATAATTCGTCCAACTTTAAGAGACTGATCATTGAGAGCATAGGTTCAGAATTAATAGGGCGGAAGGCCAACATTCTATCACTGGGTGGGGGAATCACACTTCTAAGGTAAGTGCTGATGAGTTTGCCAATCTCCTATGTCCCTTTTCTAAATCCCAGTTAAGGTGAGAAATGAACTCAAAAAAATTCAACGAAGCTTTCTTTGGTGGGCATAAAGTTGAAGAAAAGGTACACTAATTGATTTGGGGCAAAGTTTGCTACTATAAGGAGTGCAGAGGTGTTGGTATTATCGATCTAGAGGTTAAAAATCATACCTTAATAAATGAAAATGGAGGTTCGAACATGAGAAAAACAACTTATGGAGGAAAGTCTTTATGGAGAAAATCGAAAGTGATCTTTTTTTTGCTATTGCCTAACACGAGTGTAAACAGGAGTACTTCTACCTTTTGAAAAAAAATTATAAGCCCTTTATGTCTTACTAACAAATATTTCTTGCTGGGCTTTTGTAACCTTAGTTTTGTAATGGGCAATAGTGAGAACATATTGTTTTGCCAAGATGAATGGATAGAAGGTGTCATTTTAGGTCAAGTCATCCCTTGGATTTTTGCCTTAGTAGTGAACGAAAAAGGCAAAAGGGCTTAATATGGTAGCTGGGACAATGAGAACTAGGCATGGAATTTCTAGCTGAGACAACAACTTTTTGACTAGGAGGTTGAGCAATGGAACCACATGAGAAATTTCCTTTATGATTTCAACTAAGCAAAAAGTTAAAGGATAAGCTGATCTAGAAAAAAAAAGAAATGAATGGAATTTACACTACAAAATCTTTCTCTAAATCAATCCTCGCTCTTAAGAATAAAATTGAGAGGATTTGGAAGCAAGTGTGGGTAAATTTGGCACCACGTATAGTTGAAACATTTATGTGCTGGCTTCTTCATGGCAAGATAGTAGTGAAAAAAGAACTCATAAAAAGAGGAGTGCTTAATATTTAGTCGCTGTAATGTATTCTTTGTGACAGTGATAGGGAGATATGTAACCACCTTTTTGTTACCTGTTTAGAGACGTGGAAAGAATAGGCAAGTTGGTGCAAAGTCTCAAATTATAGGTGAGTTTGCCTAAAGGATGTTAGACAATTTTTTGAGGCACGGAATGGTTGCCAACAAAGTGAAAGGGTTTACAAGGTATAGAAAATGACCTACTTTACAATTGTTTGGTCTATATGGAAATGCATAAATGTAATTGTGCTTGAAAGAAAAGAATAGGATGCAACCTAATGCTTAGAACTAGCACGCATAAGGGTTGCTTCTTGAGCTAATGCTAAGTGGCCATCTATTTACCCATTAGTGCTAGATACATATAAACAACCCTCCATGTCAGTTCACATCGAAAAAAAGGATAGAGGGAGAAAAGGGATTCAATGGGTGGCTCCAGCTCAATGAAAAATGAAATTCAAAGTGGTTGGGGTGACTAAAAGGTGTTTGGGGCCTGCCGAGATAGGTGGCGTATAGAGAAACTATTATGGAGAAACAAAATAACTTTCGCCAAGTTCATTGGCACTGCTTACTCGAACTCAACTAAGATTTTGGCCTCGCGATAAGCCTTTATTATCTTTGCTGCATTGACTTGGAATGGAAAACCACAAACTTTTCATTAAGAGTGATTCAAGCAACGTAATAAAGTGGACTCATAACCCTAATACAACAACATAGAGAATGCAAAAATGGCTTTTATAGATAGAAAGGATAAAGGCAAGACTTCAAGGCTGGGAGATCCAACATACAAAGAGGGAAACAAATCTAAGGGTTAACTCTTCAACAAAAAAAGGGGCATAATCATAGATTGACACCTTGCAAGTATTCCAGTAAGTCATTTATTGTTTCATTATTTTGTGAACCTCGTGGACTACAAGGTGTTATGTTTTGGGAATTGAACTTACTGGTCTATCATTAATTGCCTTGTTTGTAATCTATTTACTAGTGGTGTAGGGCTCACTTTAGCTTGTAGGGTAAATCTGAAAGGGATGATTAACTGATTCTTTTTATAAGGCTATTGGGGGTATACTAGGTTGGAATCCAAGCATACTGACTAATAACTCTGGCTTTTGTACTAGGTTCTTTTTTATACCAATTCGAAGGGAAAAATTCATTCCTAGTTTATTAAAAAAAGAATACTTTGTCTTTCAAAAAAAAATCAATGCGCAATAGAAATTTAAAATTTTTCTCTTAGGTAGGATCATACTTTGGTTTATTTAGCGTAGAAAAGCTTAACTAAAAGAGTAGATTATTATACTTTCAAGACTTTGAAGTTGAAATCACAAGGTATTTAAGTCAGGAAACCAATTTCCTCTACACCAAGCTTGGGTTGTTGCAAACCAAAAGCTGTCCAAGCGTACACCCTCTAATAGTAATCCATATGAATGATAATGATGAACAACTCTAATAAAGTGTAAGGTTACTTATGCTTACAAGACTTGGAGCTAGCTAGGGGAAAGGATATCAAGTTTCTTACTTCTTAACACATAACAGAAGCAGATAGCAAGAGGAGGTAAAAATTGAAGCCAACTTGTAGGGAGCACATAAAATCGATTCATAGTTAAAAAGGTTGAAAATAGAATTTTAGGGTTTTGAGTGCTAAAGTTAACTTCTAGGGGTTTTGCCTCACTATGTCAATTATCTCTTCTATTACCTCTCAAGGTTTCAGATGTAGTGTAATTCTCTTTCACATGTAACACAAGCATTACATTAAAGGAAATTAAAGCCCGAATAGGTTTAACATAACTTTTATGCTAATTGTAAATTTGCTTTTGACTAAATTGAACAATTTAATTAAGTGTTTGAAGTTTCAAATTTATTTTAATTGAGTCTAACTTAATTCTCTATTTTACATTCTTAATTATCATTTTTTAAATGTGTGTGACTGAATGAGTTATTAACATGTTGGCCTAAATATAAATTATAATCCTAAGCAATATAAGATTAGATGAATTAAACTCTTTGCATTTATCATCAAGTTCAGATTGATTATATCATCTGTATAAGTCAACATTGTGACGACCTCTTCCCTGATCGTTACCGGTGTTCGAGACTTACGAGTGAACTCGTCAAATCCCTAATAAGTCTTACTTAAAATGTTAGTTATTACTTCATATTCATACCATTAATCTATGAAATTTCTGTGATCCATAAAACTCTTTGTAATAAGAATTGAACAATAATCTTTATAAATTGACTAAACTTTTATTCCACATAATTGTAAAAATAATACATCAAGACTTATAATCTCCAAATGTACATTTATATTGAAACTAATGTCTGATTTCATAACAAGTTATACTATGACAACTCGACCTCTAGCAGCAGAGTGACTCTGAATAAAGTGCTATTAGATGCCTTTACCTATCCGTGGTGGACTGCAAATGTCGATGAATGCACGCTAGGTTGATCACTATCTACAAAAGGGAAATAAAGGGGTGAGTCTCACAAACTCAGTGATCATTGGCTCCATGAGCAGGGCGTAGATGGGAAACAAGCTTAAAGCAGATAAGTTGAATAATAAAACCGAAATATCAAATCATAATCTTAAAAAACCAAATCATAAGTAGGATATTTGTGCCTTGTAAAAATAATGACGTAAATCATAATGCAATATTTCACTTGGCAAAACGATGCTAAAAACAAGCGTAGCAAAACAGAGTTCAATCATAAAAAACATCACTTGTCATCAAAATATGAATAACAGTAT